GGATTTGCCCAGGTCAGACACTCGTCTGCAAAGGGGCGCCACGGCTAACTCCATCTGTAAGAGGAATGGGTTTGGTTTTAATCGGCTAATTCAGAGAGCTAAAAAAAAAAAAAAAAAAGGCAGAGCAGGTGAGGGAAAGCAGATTTGTCTGCTGAATCCCAGCCGTGATTTACAACACGGATGCTCCTCGACGTACAACCGTCACCGTCCAAAGCTGCAACAGGGCTGGAAAAAATGTGACTTCTGTCTGTCTCTCACACTTGCAACTAACCGTTGCAGCGTCACGTGATCAAAATTCAGACCCTTGGCCACTGACTCGTATTGACGACGGTGGCGTCGTGTGATCCCCTTTTTGCGAACTTCTGACCAGCAAAGTCAATGGGGGGAAAACCAGATTCACTTAGCAACTGAGTTACTAACTTAGCAACTGCAGTGATTCACTTAACTGGGGCAAGAAATGTCGTACAATGGGGTCAAAACTCACTTAACAAGGGTCTCACTTAGGAACAGAAATTTTGTGCTCAATTGTGGTCGTACGTTGGGTGAGAGAAGGTGATTGGCCCGAAGTCACCCAACTGGCTTTCATGGCTAAGGCGGGACTAGAACTCCCCGTCTCGTGGTGATTGACTCAAAGTCATCCAGTTGGTTTTCATAGCTAAGATGGGACTAGAATTCCCTGTCTCCCGATGATTGGCCCAAAGTCACCCAACTAGCTTTCATGGCTGTGGCGGGACTAGAACTCTCGGTCTCCTGATGATTGACCCAAAGTCATCCAACTGGTTTTCATGGCTAAGGCGGGACTAGAATTCCCCGTCTCCTGGTGATTGGCCCAAAGTCACCCAACTGGCTTTCATGGCTAAGGCAGGACTAGAACTCTCGGTCTCCTGATGATTGACCCAAAGTCATCCAACTGGCTTTCATGGCTAAGGCGGGACTAGAATTCCCCGTCTCCTGGTGATTGGCCCAAAGTCACCCAACTGGCTTTCATGGCTAAGGCGGGACTAGAACTCTCTGTCTCCTGATGATTGGCCCAAAGTCACCCAACTGGCTTTCATGGCTGTGGCAGAACTAGAACTCTCCACCTCCTGGTGACTGGCCCAAAGTCACCCAGCTGGCTTTCATGGCTAAGGCAGGACTAGAACTCACGGTCTCCCGGTTTCTAGGCCATTGAGAAGAACTGGTCTGCCACACAGGGAATCAGAGAGATACTACATTTTCGTAGTATCCCAAATAAGAAGTGCATTTGCCCTGCGGTTTACAAAATCAATTGGATTCGTTATGCCTGTTTTACTATAGGGTTACACTTTACGGAGAGTGCCACGCTAAGTATCTGACACCTCTTCTGCTGAAATTCCCAGGCCATTTGGAACAATTTTACACCTCTTTGTTTCTGCCAGACAGAAATGAGTCTTATCACGCGCGTAGTGTGGCAAAACTGTGTACGGCGCCACATTGGGTTTGACAATCTCTTAACATCAGCTTTTGTAACAGCTGGCGACCGACAAGGAAGCGCGATTTAGCTCTCACCTGTTGGCCTAACACGTTCAGGAACAAACAATTCAACGGTTTTCTCATTTTATATCGCCATTTTTAAAAGCTTTTTTTCAAAAAAAAAAAGTATCGATCAAGTCTTCGTGTCGGCATCGGCTCCGTTATTAACAAATAACTGAACAAATTCAGAATTTAAAATTGTCCCCGTGCCCTAAGCCAGGGCTTTTCAACCAGTGGTACGGGTACCACCTGTGCTACATTGGCACCTGGCAGGTGGTATGCGAACATCCTCGAAAAGTGGTAGTGGGGGAGAGGAATGAGCTGAAGCGGTGGCAGCACCACACAAGCCTGAGCGAGAGACGGCTGGAGCTGCAGGGCTGTCAGGGCTCAGCAGAAGCGCCAGGATCAGTGCCGCTTTCCAGCTGATCGGCGCTTCGGGGCTGTCAGGGCTCAGTGGAAGTGCCAGGATCATCGCCAGGCTCTAGCTGGAGCTCGGCCCTGATCCTGGCACTTCTGCTGAGCTCAGAAGAAGCGCCGATCAGCTGGAATGTTGCAGCATCTCCAGGGTCTTGTGATTTACATTCAGATGCTTGGCAACTGATTCATATTTATGACGGTCACAGTGTCCCAGGGTCATGTGAAGGGACCAAAACCTGCTGCAACCACCCAGCAGACGGGGGGAATAAAAACCAAACACCCCCCACCCCACCCCCACTGCCAATCCTCAACAGAAATTCTCACAACAATGAAAACCTCGGACAGGAGGAAGAGCGCCGCCGGACGGGCAGGCAGATGTCTTGCTCGGCTGTGGCTTGGGGGGCACTTTTTTCAGTGCCATTGTAACTTCAAACAGTCACTAAGCGAACTGTTGTAAGTCGAGGACTACCTGTACTTTATCACTTTTTTCCTTTTTTTGGGGGGGGGGGGTCATCAAATTTTTGACACCTTGCTAGGCGACTGGTGGTACTCGGATGTTGCCATATCCTAAAAGTGGTACAATGGGTGAAAAGGTTGAAAAGCCCTGCCCTAAGTCTTCTCCTATTAGGAGATCTGCTCCACTGCAAGAAACCATTTTGTGATAAACACACAAAATGTACACGCACCTCTGTTGTGGCTGGAATATCGCGTGCGACAGCTGTAGTATTTGTATTAGAGTAGATACTAGAGCAGCTATCTGAGTAGAATAGATAGAGTAAGTAATAGATAGAGTAAGTTGAGCCCAAATTTGACTCCTTCTGAGAAGCAAAGTCAATGTGGAAGTTGAGGACTATCTGTATTTTTTTTTTAAAAAAAAATAAACACCAGAGTTCTTTCATTGGCCCTGCCTAGTCAAAGAAATATTGTAAACTCAATCCCCAAACCTTTTTTCATTTTTCTTTACATTTTTCTACCCATCCCAAGGAAAATAATTCATCCAATTCCCCAATTGTTAGCATTTTTACTGCCGTTAATACAAGAGGCAGGATGTCAGTCTAACAAATATTAAAAATCTGACAAATCTGGAATGTGCTTTCATTCCAGCCAACAGCGATAAAATGACTTTTTTGTAGTCAAAGAATGTCTATATTTTTCTCGGCTAAACTCGGATCCCTTGCCTGGAGAGTGTATTTTTGTGCTAGCTAGATAAAGGAGAGGAAAAAAAAATCTTTTCTTTTCCTTCATCTGTTTCTGCCTTCATCGTGTTCACATTTCATTCTTTTGATCGCACAGAGCCACATGGCATTTAAAGGGCAAAATATTATTCCCCAACTAACACAACTTAAAATACTCCAAATTACTGCAACCTCAGTGCACTTGGGTTTTTGTTTTGTTTTTTTTTTGTTATTCAGCAACAAAGATCCTCATAATGAATAGGTCGTAAGGTGCATCTATTCCTAGATAATGCCTCGCGGCATATATAAATGTCAAGAAAATGTCATTTAAAATTATCTCATTGACCTCAGGAAATCTTTTTAGACCAGCCAATATATACCGAGGGTGAAAACTGTGCCAGCTATTTGGCATAAGTGATTGTTATTGCCTTTCAGTTTTAGCTTTCGACGTGCTTAAATACAATCGTCTTGTTTTGTATTCTGGGGTTATAATTGGCTACCTTCACATGGTTTCAACAAGAGAACCCCAAATGCACAAATCTGTGTTTGTATATGTAGCTTCTACAAGAGACAAATTCCTTGTGGGTCTATTGCCCAATTAAAGCTTTTCTATTTCTATTTTTCCTGTTCCTGTTCCTATTCCTATTCTGTTCTGTTCTATTCTGCATTCTATTTTATTCTGCATTCTATTCTATTCTATTCTATTCTATTCTATTCTATTCTATTCTATTCTATTCTATTCTATTCTGCATTCATTCTGCATTCTATTTTATTCTGCACTCTATTTTCTATTCTATTCTATTCTGCATTCATTCTGCATTCTATTCTATTCTGCATTCATTCTGCATTCTATTCTATTCTATTCTATTCTGCATTCTATTTTATTCTGCACTCTATTCTATTCTATTCTATTCTATTCTATTCTGCATTCATTCTGCATTCTATTTTATTCTGCACTCTATTTTCTATTCTATTCTATTCTGCATTCATTCTGCATTCTATTCTATTCTGCATTCATTCTGCATTCTATTCTATTCTGCATTCATTCTGCATTCTATTCTATTCTATTCTATTCTGCATTCTATTTTATTCTGCACTCTATTCTATTCTATTCTGTTCTGTTCTATTCTGCATTCATTCTGCATTCTGTTCTATTCTATTCTATTTTGCATTCTATTTTATTCTGCACTCTATTCTATTCTATTCTGTATTCATTCTGCATTCTATTCTATTCTATTCTGCATTCTATTTTATTCTGCACTCTATATTCTATTCTATTCTATTTTATTCTATTCTATTCTATTCTATTCTATTCTATTCTATTCTATTCTATTCTATGGATCGTGTTTTGAACCCTGAGCGCAGCAGGTAGCCGAGTGGAATTAAGGGTGAGGGTCCCCTCGTTCACCTGAGCGAAGTCGGCCGCCAGCCGCATCTTCCCTCCTTCGCCGAGAGACCGGAGCAGGCTGGCGTTGCGGATGAAGACCTGGATGGCCCTCTGCGCGATGCCTTCCGTCCTCTCGTAGACAAAATCGTAGCACTCAAAGTGCCTGAAATAATCGTTCATGACCCTGGAGATGAACCCCTGCAGCTCCTTCATGTACAGAGAGCAAGGCACGTCCGGCTTTCCCGAAGGAGGCAGGGACCTGCCCGGCAAACGGGGGAAAAAAAAGAGGAAAAAATTTAATTTCCTGTCCTGTTCATTTCCACCGGAGAGTTATTACTACAGGTAGTCCTCGACGTACAACATTTAGGGGACCGTTTGAAGTTACAACGCTACTGTTAGTTATCCTGCGTGCATTTCCGCAACAACAATCACATTTATTGCCTTCCATAATAGACTGGAATACAGCTAGATTAATGGGGCGGTGGAGGTTTGGTGGGGTCACAAAGCCAGTAGACTCTCCATTTTGACAAGGTTTACTTCTTGTAGACCTATTAAAAAGACTATAGAGAAGCAGTGCCTCAGTTACCCCGAAAAATCTTCCTGATGAAGGGTCATGATAATAGCTTGTATGGAGTCGCCGACCGAGTCCAGCAAAGGTTGCACAGCCGTGCCCATTAAATCGTGGATGGTCTGGAAGGCAGAACCGAGAATAAAACCCGGGTCAGAAGGAAACCGTGCACTTCACCAGTTTCAAGCTATCATTATGGTTAAACAAGGGTTAATCATAGGATACTAGCTAAGCCACCCCACAAATCATACTAGGATAGGAAATAAAGCAATATGAACTGTAAGATGCAAACACCAAAGTTATAGTCCTAAGGAGATAGATAGGTCATAGGAAAGAGGAGGCGAATAATAGTAATACAGCTTTACTATGTAGTTTGACGGTGTTGTAGGGTTTAGTTGTTAAGCAGAGTGACGGCAGGGGGGGGAAAACTGTCTTATGTCTAGTTCAGGGGTAGGCAACCTTGGCTCTTTTATGACTTGTGGACTTCAATTCCCAGAATTCCTCAGCCAGCATGGCTCAGCATGGAAACCTCTCCCTTTCCCCTCAGCGTGGCTGGCTCAGGAATTCTGGGAGTTGAAGTCCACGAGTCATAAAAGAGCCAAGGTTCCCCATCCCTGCCCTATATCAGGGGTCCTCAACCTTGGCAACTTTAGGACTCGTGGACTTCAATTCCCAGAATTCCTGAGCCACCATGGCTCAGCTTGGAAACCTCTCCCTTTCCCCTCAGCGTGGCTGGCTCAGGAATTCTGGGAGTTGAAGTCCATGAGTCGTAAAAGAGCCAAGGTTGCCTACCCCTGGCCTAGTTGTTCTGGTGTGCAATGCCGTATAGTATCGTCGAAGAAGTTGAAACAGTTTGTGTCCAGGATGTGAGGGGTCCGTAGATATATATTTATGGGTTCTCCATCACCGGAAGTTTTCAAGAAGTTTTCAAGGATTCATCTGAAGACGGGCTCCAGCATAAAGCCTCTGGTCCCGGTGACTGACCCAGATTGGATCCCGCGATATAAAGACTGTTGCCTAGGGCAGGGGTTGGATTAGAAGACCTCCAAGGTTCCTTCCAGGCCTGTGATTCTATTCAGAAGCGCAGAACGACACAAGATGGCCTCCCTCCTCCTGGTGTTGACCCGTGAGAAAGGAAGCCTGCCGTGCGCGGCAAGATTTAAATCTTTTGAGGGTGAAGGTATTCAACGGTATTGCAAATTTAAATCTTTCTCAACGATTTTACAACGCAGACCTACCTTCAAAGCAGCGTGCACAGTTTCCTCCGAAGCTGTTGGAAACCCACTTTGGTTGGAGATAACCTAAGACAAATAGGTTGAAAGAGCGTTAAACTGTATAGTGTGGCAAATCTTTATTTTCCAAGTAACATTCCCCCCTCCCGTCGGAATGGCAGCGTTCCGACAGGGACCTGACAAGTGGTCAGTTCAGTTCAGGGGTTTGGAGCGTTCTGGGTATGAAACCTTTCTGTCCTGGTTCCGACAGATGAAACTCTTCAAAGAACTTCGAGGCCTTGTTTACCTTAAAGAATCTTTATTGGAGCAGCATAGCATCAGCACTAACACAGTCGAAGCACATAGTATCAAAGCACAATTCCCTCCCCCAATTAACAGTCATAAATCACATTCCCCAATTAGCTTGAAATGCAGGCTTCCCCTCCAGTTCTCCAGCCCCGCCAATCCTTATCATCTCTTATTTCAATAACCTTGGTTCTCACACTAGGTTCAGTATTGTTATGTCTGGCTAAACTCTCATGCACATTCCTCCCCCCAGCCTCATCTAGCTCTAACTCTAAGAGTAAAACATAAGAAAATGGTTGCATTTTTATCTGTTGTCAGTGCAAAAAACATCCGATGTTAGCAGCGTTGACACTTCGGCTTCGCAAATCTCTTTACAACTTACTTTTAGAACGGACTGGTGCAATTTATAGAGCGAGTTCACAACGGCCACGTTCCTTCTCTGCCCTTCGGTTAAGGGGCCAATCACCTGGCTGGCTTCTCCCTGTGTCGACAGCTGCAGTGAGCAAATGAACAAAATTCAATTTATTTCCCGGGAAGTAACTGTTCCAGATTCCTTGACTTACGACCACAATGGGACTCAATTGTGGTCGTAAGCCGAGGACTGCATGTAGCTCTTCTGGGCTTTATGTTTAGTGGCATGCTATATCATTTGGGCCACCGTCAAAAATTAGGCAGATGGTTATGGACATCCTGACATCTCCTGCAGAATGAATTCACAGAGGTGTATGGACGGGGTGTCGTTGAACAATATTAAACATGAAAATTGTTCCTTGTTAGTCCATCAGCCTAGCCCAGGGGTAGGCAACCTTGGCTCTTTTATGACTCGTAGACTTCAACTCCCAGAATTCAACTCAGGAATTCTGGGAATTGAAGTCCACGAGTCATAAAAGAGCCAAGGTTGCCTACCCGACCTAGCCTTACTTGAGGCCTAGATGAAATACAGGTAGTCCTTGACTTACGACAACAGCTGAGTCCAGAATTTACGTTGCTAAGCGAGGCGGTCGCTAAGGGAGTTTTGCCCCCATTTTACGAGCTTTCTTGCCACAGCGGTTAAGTCAAGCGCTGCCGTCGTTAAGTTAGCAACACGGTTGTTAAATGAATCCGGCTTCCCCCGTCGACTTTGCTTGTCAGAAGGTCGCAAAAGGGGATCACGGCAACCGTCATAAATACGAACCAGTTGCCAAGTGGCTGGATTTTGACCACGGGGATGCCGTAAACGGTCGTTAGGTGTGAAAAACAGTCCCGGGTCCCTTTTTTTCAACGCCGCTGTCACTTTGAACGGTCACTAAACGAACTGTCATAAGTCGAGGACTACCGTTTTGCTTCCAAAATGTAATAAAAAGGGGAAAAGAGAATGTTAGGTAATGCAGTTTTGAATTTCCAAACCCCCCCTCCCAGGAAAAAAATAATAATCCTGGAGCCATCATCCTGACATCAAAGCAGCTTTTTAAGGCCCTTCTTCAAACTGCTTCTAACTTCATTTATTCTGACAAGGAAGAATTCCCGCGTGCCGAGCGTGTGTCGATTTAGGTAAACAAAGTCTTCACCTGCTGAACAGTAAAAGCTAATGACTGTTTTTCCAACAGGTCGATGCATCGGAAGACCTTCGGTTTTACGAGCTCTTTCTTTGACATTAACAGCAAACTAGCAACAAATAAGAACATCTGCTTTGAGCACCTCCCAGTTCCAATCAACAGCTGGACCCCAAAACTATTGATAGCAGTGGTCCAATATCTCAGGGGCTGCCACAAAGAAGAGGCAGTTAAGCTATTCTCCAAGGCACCTGAAGGCAGGACAAGGAGCAACAGATGGAAACTAACCAAAGAGAGAAGCAACCTAGAACTCAGGAGAAACTTCCTGACAGTGAGAACAATTAACCAGTGGAACAACCTGCCTCCAGAAGCGGTGAATGTGCCAACACTGGAAGTTTTTAAGAAGAAACTGGACAGCCATTTGTCTGAAATGGTGTAGTTTCCTGCCTGAGCAGGGGGTTGGACTAGATGACCTCCAAGATCCCTTCCAACTTTATCATTATTATTATTATTATTAACACTTGGGGTGCGACTGGAATAGGAACGGCCCTTGCACACTTAAAAATGGGCTCAAACCTTGCTAACAAGGAGGAGAGGAGAGTGAATCAGTGTCAGTAGTATCCATCAAGGCAACGCCGGAAAGCATCTTTAATAAAAAAATAAAACATGATTTCATCTTTCCCAAATATAGACCTGGCGGATATCTCGGAATGACAGAAAAAAAACAGGATAACGGAATTGAAAAGGGACCTTGGAGGTCTTCTAGTCCAACCCCCTGCTCAAGCAGGAAAGCCTACATCGTTTCAGACAAATGGTTGTCCAATCTCTTCTTGAAAAACCTCCAGTGTTGGAGCATTCGCAACTTCTGGAGGCAGGTGGTTCCACCGGTTAATTGTTCTCACTGTTTAGGAAATTCCTCCTTAGTTTTAGGTTGCGTCTCTCCTTCATTTGTTTCCATCCATTTGTCTGTGGAGATGCTCCATCATCCAGGTCAAGGTTGTCCCAAAGGTGATTTTTCACGAGGCAATTGGACTTTCTTGTTTCTTTCTTTGAAGACGTTTCGCTTCTCATCCCAGAAGCTTCTTCAGCTCTGACTGGATGGCGGGGAAATGGAAGGATTTATACTCCTTGGAGACTTCTGGTCATTTGCCTTCTTTTAGAGAGTCGTTGAGGCCACTTGGAGATTTACTATATCTGTGTCCTCAGGCTCACCTGAGCTCCACACCTATTTGCACCACCCAGGTGCCGCATTCATTTTTTAAATATCTGTATCAATTTACACTATCTCTTAAGTTTTGAAAATGAGTTTTGTCCAGATAAAAACTAAGAAGCTGGTGAAAAACAGAGCTTCATTTGAACTGCCAAAGGGTTAGGCGTGACAGTTAGAATTGCATCGTTAATGGGAAAGAAGGATCTGTTTTTCTGTTATACATGTTCTGCAGCAATTCTTCTTGCTAATGTAGTAAAATGAACAATTATTAGAATAATGATTTGTCTGCATAATTGCCAGAATAATGATGTAATGCATAATCACTGGGAAAATTCACTGGGAAAGTTCTGTTGTCAGTAATATGTGGCTAACCAAATGCGCATTGCACATGGATACTTTGTATGTAGCAAAAACCTTCCATTGTATGCCCGTGAGAAACGATCCAAATGTATTACAATGTGTATTACAATGTGTGTAGTCCTTTGTTCCTGAAAGGATAGTATAAAACTGAAGTCTAATCCCGCCCTCCTCGTTCAGAATTGCATGTCTCCATATGCCTCTGAACCTGCGCAAATAAACCTCTCTGCTAAACCCCTCTGGAATTCGTAAGAGTTCTTTCGTTTTCCACAAGATTGCTGTTCAGTTACTAAATCCTGTCCGACGTTTCGTGACCCCCACGGACCACGGCACGCCAGCCCTCCCCACTGTCCTCCACTGTCTCCCGGGGGTTTGGCCCAATTCACGTTCATTGTGTTGATGGCCCTATCTGACCATCTTCTCCTCTGCCGTCCCCTTCTCCTTTTACCTTCTATCTTTCCCCGTTGTCAGGGTCTTCTCCACGGAGTCTTCTCATTAGGTGGCTAGGCTAGTTATTCTGGGTTTTCAGGAGCACTGAATGGGGCTACAGCAACAGAATGGGTTGGGCCAAGACCAGAATACTTTTCAATCAAATGAAATTTAAAACTGAGCTGTTCTCCTTTGTCCCCCTTTGGTCATATGAAAGATGAAACGTTGACCTGGGTAGGGCACAGTTGACACTTTTTTTTTTTAATGAAGAGAAGGACGAGGGGGGACATGATAGCGGTCTTCCAGTATCTCAGGGGCTGCCCCAAAGAAGAGGGAGTCAAGCTGTTCTCCAAAGCGCCTGAAGGCAGGACAAGAAGCAACAGGTGGAAACTAACCAAGGAGAGAAGCAACCTAGAAGTAAGGAGAAACTTCCTGACAGTGAGAACAATTAACCAGTGGAACAACCTGCCTCCAGAAGCGGTGAATGCTCCAACCCTGGAAGTTTTTAAGAAGAGACTGGACAGCCATTTGTCCGAAGTGGTGTAGGGTTTCCTGCCTGAGCAGGGGGTTGGACTCGAGGACCTCCAAGGTCCCTTCCAACTTTATTATTATTATTACTTGAGTTGATCTCAAAAACCTACACAAATCTTTCTTGAGAATTTGCAAACCATCTCAGAAGACAGCCATGGCAAAACATTTCTATACCGTTGTCAAGAAAATTACGTGGATGAGTCCACGCTACCACCAGGCACTGAATTCAGCTCTGGAGAGTAATAATAATAATAATAATAGTAAAGTTGGAAGGGACCTTGGAGGTCATCTAGTCCAACCCCCTGCTCAGGCAGGAAACTACCATTTCGGACAAATGGCTGTCCAGTTTCTTTTTAAAAAACTTCCAGTGTTGGAGCATTCCTTGCCTTTATTTGCAGAATCCTCAAATGCTCCCATCCTATTGAGATTCACGATCGTGTACGCTCACTCCTACATCTTGGGAAAAGGTTCACATATATTAATATAAAACGAAAGACCGATTAAGCGTGTGTGTTTTTTTTAAAAAAAAATGTTACGTTTTCTTTTTCATTAAGACGGATCTTGATCTGTTACGGAAGAATAGAAAACAGCCGACGACACTGGCAGAAATAGTAAATGGGGTTTTTAACTTAAATATAGTGTGGCAAGACCAACTTTCTTTTCTTTATCCTTATTTTTTGAGAGAGCATTCGAGGTTGCCGAGGTTCCATCCTTCATTTCTAGACAACTCAATTTTTGCGCGTTCCCAGTTCAACACATTTATCTGTGTGCAGCAGGTGGGCCTGTTAGTGTATTTCAATCCACCCACATGTGAGGCTCAGCAGAAATAGCATCAAAGTAAAAGAACATACAGTACTTATATTACCACTCACACTGTGATCTAACTGCAGGCATAACACAAAATGAAGCAGACTTTTTTTTTCTTTTTTTTTTTAAAAAAAGCACTGTATAATAATTTGTGGAACAATCGTTCATTGACAAAGAGGTTGGAATCGTTCCTTTAATCCATTTGGTGTCAAGATCCAAGAAATCGTTAGAAGCCGTGCTTGCCGTTTTTGGAATATATTATATAACAATTTTCTGATTAAAGAAAGCACAAGGTTTTCTGGAAAAACCTTAGGTGTCATGACAAGAAGGACCAGGGATGACACAATAGCAACGTTCAACATTTGAGGGGCTGCCAGGAAAGAAAATGGGGTCATCCTATCATCCAAAGCGCCTGAAGGCAGGACAAGAAGCAACGGATGGAAACTAATCAAGGAGAGAAGCAACCTAGAATTAAGGAGAAATTTCCTGACAGTGAGAACAATTAACCAGTGGAACAACCTGCCTCCAGATGTTGTGGATGCTCCATCACTGGAGGCTTTTAAGAAGAGATTGGACAGCTATTTGTCTGGAATGGTGTAGGGTCTCCTGCTTGGGCAGGGGGTTGGA